ACATAAATATCATCCTAATCATCATCATTATTGTTTTATTTTTTATTTTTAATGTCCTCTAGCAAAGGTTATTTTTGTCTATAATAAATAAACTCGATGCCCAAGTCGGGTTTATTTTGGTAATTTTTTCCTCTGGTGCAAATAATGAATTTAACATTGCGAAAGCACCCACTTCTAGGAGGTGTATGCTTTCTGATTTTCCAGCATCTCTTGGTGTAAAATCACGTCAAGTACTGGTACTGCCGGTGGGGGTGTGAAGTGGGACGAAAAGGTGGTGGGAGAGGGTAGCGTTGTAAATTAAAAACAACTGCTGCGCTTCCAGAACATGTGCGTTGGTTTGTTTAGCGCGGTATGGAACAAGTCTGATCGGTAGGAGATCAAGAAGAATGATAGGGAAGAAAGATAAGGAGAAAGAGAGAAAGAGAAAGAAAATAACGTGAAGGAAAAAGCAAAAGACAAAACAACAGATTGAAAGAAACAGACCTATAAAGAGACAAAAAATGGGAGCAAGACAGAAAGAGCAGGAAAAAAACTATAGCATATCTACGTGGTGAATGACGGAGAGAGGAGCGAAGCTGGGTCCGCATGCCACTGCAGCACCGCTTTGGCCTCCCGTTCTCGTACGCCATGATTTTGTCAGCGCCGTAGCGCAGCTTCCCGGCACGCTTCTACCTTACGTGCTCGCACATCCGGGTTCCATCTTCGAGCGTGAGCCGCCACTACCTTGCCTGCACGCCGCTCTGCAGCCTTGTCCATCCGCGGACCTTCTGAATGCGCGTGCCTGGCGAAACGGCTTATATTTTACTACACCGCATCCCCATCGTACGGCGCCGTCGACGAGCACGTGATGGCCAACGTCTTCGCGTGACGTCATTCCTGTTTTCTCGCTCGCTCGCGTATCACGGTTTTCTCTTGAAGCGCAAGTTGCCGCCGCTTTGCATGTGTCATGCATTTTATCGGCAAACCATGAATCATCTGCTGGTCTTGTCCGTCCGTCGTCTCTCTGTCTGTCTGTCTGTTTGACACAAGGACGGATGGGCGGGCGGATGAACGTATGGACGAATGCACGAATTAACGGACGAATTCACGGATGAACGGATGGACGCACAGAGGGACGAATGGACGGACAGATGGATGCAGGGACGGATGCACAGATAGATGGACGGCCACATAGATTAACGCAAGGACGGACGCATGGGTGGATCAACGCATGGACGGATGCATGAAAGGACGGACGTGTGGATGGGCGCAGAGACGGATGGACGCAAGAGCGAATGCAGGGACGGACTCACGGACGGGCGCACAGATAGACGCATGGATGGACGAACGAGAGGACGGACGGATGGACGCATGAACGAACGGACGCATGGACGGATGCACGATTGCACGGACGCACGGATGGACGGATGGACATACAGATGAATGGATAGACGCGTGGACGAACGGATGCAGTACGGACGGGTGGTGGGACGGACGCACGTATGAACGGAAGCAAGAAAAAAACGGACGGCCGGAAGCACGGACGAAATAATGGACGCTTTGCCCCACACTCACCCGCAGGTTGCGGGATCGAATCCCGGCTGCGGCGGTTGCCTTTTCGATGCAGGCGAAAATGCTGTAGGCCCGTGTGCTCAGATTTGGGTGCACATTAAAGACTCCTAGGGGGTCAATATTTCCGGAGCCCTCTACTACGACGTCTCTCATAACCATATGGTGGTTTTGGGACATTAAACCCCACATATCAATCAAACAGTTCGCCCCGCTCAGACCATTCAGTACATGAATATGCTTAGATTTTTATTATTTATCATATTACAAGTAACGTCCTCTAGTATCGTAGCATTTAAATTTTTCAGCGTATTATATGTACAAGTACCTGTTCGATTACTAACGAGAAGTGGCTATATATGATTACGACGAGACACTCACTCCAAGCTTTCAGGAGCTTTGCTCATAAAAATAAACGAGATTTAGCATAGTAAAAAAGCGATAATAGTACATAGGCAGAGAAAAAGAAAAAGGAAGTGAGAAAAAAAGTTACACAATATTAAAATAATCAAGTAAGGCTGCTGAGCATCATGCTTCTTATACACTTCACGGAATTACTGTGAAGCTGCTTTATATTTTTCTCGCAATTGCATTCATTGCAGAGGGCATACAGCGAAAGTATGATTTTTTTATGATCTGGCAGCTGGTCTACCAAACAATGTTTTTTTTTGTGGCCTGTGAAATTATTCTAGAAATCGGTGTAATCAAGAAATATGATTTTCGTTGGTTGCTGCCAATCAGGTACTAGTGCGCAATGAGCCTTCATTTTTGTTTTATGTATTTCAGGAATTACGTTACAAGCCTTGGAGAAGCTCCTAATTAAATACCAGTAAAAAAGGCATGTGTCCAAAATGTCTAATAATGCCAAAATGTTCAAAATGTCTAATAAAGCATAGCCTGTCCAAAATGTCAAAAATGTCTAATAAAGCATAACTTGTAAGCACAATGGATGAACAAAGTGTTTTAGAGTTCATTCTATTATGAGTGGCATTAGTTTTGCTTGAAGTGAAGTATTGTAGATTCAAGGGCTCACTTTTTGTTAGGCACATTATTGGTTAGATCTAACACGCAATTATGCCAATGGAAATATAGAGGAAGTTGTCATATTGAATGGCAATGTAATTGTGAAGAAAGAAAAGTGGGTGAAAAGATAACTTACCGTATGCAGGAACTGAACTTTGGACCTTCGAAAAACGCGTCCGATGCTTTACCAACTGAGCTACATGCCTCCGTCCACTTTATGCGGTATATGTGTGGCTTTAAACGTGGTAGCGTCAGTCAGCGTCACCAGAAGCCATGACGGCGAGTGCCGAACACTCTTATCTTTGGCTTCGAGTAGCAGGTGAACATATTACGGGCTGGCAGCTGACCAATAGTCCCTCGTATGCTACTTGAAGGCACCAAGTCTGCCAGAGCGAGGCCCTCGCTATGAATGAAGGAAAGATTGTACATTTAAGTGCTCGTTTTCTTTCTTGACATAACGTTAATGAGATCCTATAATCATGCCAAGGGAAGTATAGGGGATGGTGTTAGAAGTGTTCGTAACGTAAATGTGAAGAAAGAAAAGTGGACAAAAAGCTAACTTGTCCTTGGCTAACAGTGTTCCACAGTTGCTATTATGGCTACTGGCGGTGCTGACTGACGCTCCCACGTTTATGGACGCATATATAGTCTCTAAAGTGGACGGGAGGTTTCTGTTCATGACAATTATCCTTTCGTGCAAATTTCTTTATTATGTTATACCTTACAAGTACTTCTGATAAAATGCCCTATACGTTCCTTGGCCTTATAACCTGTTACATCTAATTAGTTATCGTCAAGGTAGTAAATACCTCGTGATGATGACGACGAGTTTGTCGGAAAATAGTTCGGCGATTATACGAGGAGTGCGTCAAAGCTGGAGCAGTTACCTATATTCGCGTTGACACGCACATATGCTGTGTTTATATAAAATTGCATCGATGTGGAGGCCAGCGACGCTTCTTGCAATAAATGCATTCGCGCTAAAAAAATAGTGTGATGATTCTTTTTCATCTGAGACATGATTTCTTTTGCTCCTTGGGATTAGTGGTAAATGAAGATGCTTTGTGCGTCGTAGATAAAAACACCCCGGTATGCAGCTGTCTATAAGTTGTCCTGGATCTTAGCATCTCTTTGTTCTCACCTCTTGATGTTTGATTTGTTACATTTCGTGACGTCATGCGCACGCGTTCATGCTCGACTTGCACAAGCATTCACAACAAGAAAGCCAAGCGCGAGACGCGCGTAGTTTCACGTATTGCTGACCGCACTTCTTGCATAGCTTCCACAGCGTTTCTGCATCTGATGTAGGTGTGATACGGAGTATGTTTTTGTACTTTCTTCTTTGTAGGGTCCAGACACTTACCCTCCGCATGCTTCAAACCAGGTTGTACTCCAGTCTTCGTTCCCAGAGCCAGTTTATAAAGGCATTAATGAAACTTGCCAAATTGTGACGCCATATCCACGTTAGAACACATGCTCTGGTAGTGCTCCTCATCACGCGATTCTCGGCACATGACCGAAGAAGAATGAAGCTCTGCGCTCAAGAGCCCAGAACTCCTATATCAACTCTGGGCTTTCCAGAGGGCCCACGATGCCGCGGTGAGGCTCGGCCTACCTATCCTGACGTGGGAGCGGCCCTCTGCTCTACCTCCTTGAGGTAGTGTTCCTCAGGACCTCAATAAAGTTCTGTGTCTGTCTGTCTTTCTGTCTCTCTTCTTTCCCGTCATCGTTATTTACGGGACAGTGAAAACCGGCCGCTCTTTCAAGGTCTGCATAAGCATGAGTGAAAAATCTGTCGAGTCCTGTCAAGTGAAAATGCTTATATAATTTACCACTTTAGTTTTTAAAATAGTCCTTTTGTTTTTTTGCGAGTTCCCAAAGCACTTATACGTAGTCTTGCATTTTCGGTCGTCTTGCATTCAGCAATACTCCTGCTTTGCCCATATTTTATCGCACATTGTAAAAGGAAATTTTTTTTGTGTTTCATTATTTCAATTGAGGCTTTTTGTCTGTCTCTCTCTCTCTGTTGTGTGTGTGTGTGTGTGTGTGTGTGTGTGTGTGTGTGTGTGTGTGTGTGTGTGTGAGAGAGAGAGAGAGAGAGAGAGAGACACAATGAGAGAACTGATGAACTTATCTCAATTTGCGCTCACATTTCGTGATTCACGTTCTTTGCTTTCGGCTGTTGTAAGTGAGACGACGGTCAATTATGGTTAGAAGGCCAGTGAATGGAAGATGCGAATAAGGAAGAGTAATACGACCTCACTTGTGGTCATATTGCACAATCAGCAACAACAACAACGTGCTTGGGAGCTCTTTCTATTTTCTTGGTTGCTCAAGGGTGTACCACTCCACTCCCAAGATCACTATGCACTAGAAACATTCGAGATTCGAGCCAAGGAAGGAGAAAGGTTTTTGAGGTGTGAGTGTACCTTTGACGCACTGTCTGTTTTCTATGTTGACAGGATATTCCGGCCTGCACTCGCAGCGTCGAGAAGTGACGTTGCAGAACACGTGGTACAGAACGCTGCTACATGTCTGATTGCACGGGTCACCAATGTAGAAGCCCACACCTTGAAAAAAGAAACAATATAAGTTCAGTAAAACATAATCACTCAACAAAAATAAACATATAATCGTTGACAGCCTAAGAATAAATGCAAGCTCCACCCACAGTGCTCATTATTCCACCCAGAAGAGTAAATTTTAGATTTAATTGCAGTCCATTATGTAAGTTACGTATTCGAAACTACACAAACTTCAGGCATATCTCTTGTTCGTGCCAGTTCGGGTTCATTTTATTAGTTTTCGGTAAAAGAATTTTAATTCTTGGCAAATTTCATCAAAAATTGCGACTTTACTGCTCCGCGAATCTTAACATTTTAAGAAAGATTGGAGAACTTCACGTTTTTATTAAGCGTGTTATTTGCACTATCACCAAAAATGCGCTTATGGATGGAACAGGAGTCGCCTAGCATTGTACTGTTGTGCCAATGCATTACAGCCACACTGCAGCACTGGAAGCGGAGCTTGCATTTTTATTAGGTTAAAATCTACTATAATTTGAATCACTGCTTTTGTGAAGCCGCAGTTTTGATCGCAGCAAGCTAGTAAAATATATTATAAAAAATACACTACTTTTTTCTTTGGAGAGTCCTGGCTTGCCACGTGTATGACTCTGTTAACATTGGCTCGTCAACTGTGTTTGGGGGTCACGTCAAACTCTTATAAGAGTCGTGTGACTTTGAAGAGAGGCAACGTGCCTGTTTTTGGAAAGTCACATACGTGAAGAGCCAGGACTTCCGAAAAAGAGCCTGGCATACTTGTTTTCTAGAGTGTAAAAGCGTGACGTGTAGCCAGTGAAGCCCACTTGAGCACTGCCAATCAGCACTGGCAAAGCCATGGTTCGTAAGCAAACCACGTGCCTACGCAAGAAAACAATTTTTAATACGTACTAATTGCCCTGCGATTGTGAAGGTTGATAAACCTGCCCTGGCTTAGCATCAGTTTCTGCATATGAGTATGTAGTATGTTTATTCCTCATTACATCTACATTGTATTTCTTCGATTTATTCTATGAAAAACAACAGGCAACCAGGCAACTGTAGTTGGAAATCAACATGGCAGCGCCTCTGCGGACTTGATCAATCCTGTTTCTTTAATCCCACCTGCTAAGCCTAACGCTTATTATATCGTAGTGGTTCTTAGAACTGGCACAGTAAATGTAGCCCCGAATACACTGCTGCTGACGCGGCAAGACATAAATTTAATGCAAAAAAATTCTTTGCGAATTCGAAACTTTGTGTGACGAAACGCTGAGGTCTTTTCACTTAACATGCTATGCTTTGTTTTCCCTCCAATTGGAATATGACAAGTATGCCGCATTCTACATGTTTGCCACCCTGAATGTGTGCGTGTTTTCGAATTTTAATTTGAATCGGTGAGAGACGCGAGGCATATCTGCCAATGAAGCTAATGCATCCTCCCACGTCAATAGTAGACAGCCCAGCTGGCACCATGCCAGGGAGGTGGATGGACACCAGCCACCGCGAGTACGAGACATGTCTTAATACAAGCGCCAGGTTGGACCTTGAGGGACACTTAGCGCAAAAGGATGACGTGATCAATTAGCGGTGGGGGCCATTACTGTCATTGTATGCAGGCATGTTCTGTAATTTTAGTCTTTTTCAGTGATGTCGTGTACTCGCCGAATGTGTGCGCGCAGATGCCAAGAGACGTTTAGCAGGTGATGCGGTGCGTATGAACGCATGAAGAAGGGCTCATCATTTGTCCTATAGGCTAAGGGTTTCTGAAGCCTGCCAAGTGCTAAAGACTACTTCTAAGATGGAATATAGCATAAAACACAGGCTGACGTTGGTTGAAGAAAACGGTCACCACAGACACGTATTTATTATTTCAATAGATAGATACATAGATAGATAGACAGATAGATTGATAGATAGATAGATAGATAGATAGATATACAGATAGATAGATAGATACATAGATAGATAGATAGATAGATAGATAGATAGATAGATAGATAGAATAGATAGATAGATAGATAGATAGATAGATAGATAGATAGATAGATAGATAGATAGATAGATAGATAACCTAACGCCTCTTGGGAATTTGTTTTCTCTGAGAATGTTTTTTATCTCCCTCTGAAAATCAGATTTAATGAAACATGACCAGCTATAACAATGAACAACTAAGAACTTTTACACCTACATGCGATAAGGTGATAAAGAACAATTTATAGAATCTAGTTCTTCAAGTAATGTCACAATACGTATTTTAAGAAAGCTTGGGTCTGACACACTTTTTTATATTTTGAAGCACTTTTATCGTGTAGCGGCTCTTTTTTCTGTTTTTCAAAAGTGTCTCGAAACCAGAAACATCCAAGCCACGAAGAGGATTCAGAATCAATACTTTTTGGAGTTTATGAAATGCGAAGCATTTCTTTGTGTCTATCTATCTATCTATCTATCTATCTATCTATCTATCTATCTATCTATCTATCTATCTACGACTGGGTGCTCTCGTGATTGTCCTTTAACTCTGGAAAAACCAAAATTAGTATGGGGGGATAAGTTGATTTCTCAAGAATACTTGCTTGTCGTTACATGAATAAAGCCTTCATCCCGTCGCCTACGTCGTCCAGTACTCCCCTCTAGACAGTGACAAAAACCCGCCGGTGGGCATGTGCCACAGGTGATTGACACTTTTTGTCTACCTGAGAACGGCGAGACCACACATGGGTAATTTTAACGCTTGAGCGTTAAGAAAAAGCTTACATCGGCAGCGTTGACGGGACGAATGCAAAGAGGAAATATCATTGCCCCAGCAGGAATCAAATCCTAGGATTCTGTGTGGTAATCAAGTATTTTATCAGAGAGCCAAGCGAAGTCTTGGAACTACCCATTTAATGAACCCATGTAGTTCGGGAAATGCCAAGTGTGGTTGCAGTGCAGGCTTTCTAATTTTATAAGCATTACATATGTCCTCCTACAATACCGCCGTAGGTGTCATTCAATTAAGTGGATTTATGTTGCGGCGTCAAGGGTTACTATCTGCTTATGGTGCTGCTGATAGCCACCTTTCTGTTGGCATTGTTACGTAACTATAAAGAGCTGGTTATATAAAACATATGTGGCTGTTAGTCATATATCTGTGCGTCTCATTCTACCAACTTTTAGCGCCACTTAGTGACGTATCCCTCCATGAAAATTGCAATATAGATGCTTTTCAACCCTATGCTTCGCATAATTTCGATTTCCAAAGTACGTAGGATCTGTAGAATTTTTTTCTTATAAATTCGGAGTTTGTATCTTGTTGATTAAACTTTGGGCAGAAATTTGACGTTTATGGGACTTGATTTCACCTAAATAGCCAATTTTTTTCAATTTGGTGTTCCATTTGACCACACAAGTTTTCGAATGGGTTATAATATTTTGTTTTCAATGAAAATTCTTACAACATAGCTAGTAATTCTATTTTCAGTTCTTCTTTACTTATTCCAAAAATTAGACTGTACTGCACTCATGTATTGTTGCACTGTACTGGTGCGAATGTAATAAAATGTACTTTTGGGGTCAGGAGCTGGACAAGATTACTCTCCTCTCATCTTCTCGTTGAAAAATGAAGGACCTAATAACAGTGTTATTTTCGGCAGTGCATACTGTTAGATGACATTGTATGCTTACACCAAAACATGCAGAGACATGTGACAAAATCGCCAATACTTGAATAAAATTACACGACACAATTACAATTGTGTCGTGAATCTCATGCTCTGTGTAGTGCTCTGTTATTCTCTTAAGATTTTTTTTTCGTTGCTATCACTTGTGTAAATAGTTTTGCGAAGCAAGCGTCTTGCAGTGTATGTTTTTCTTCTTGCATTGTTAGTATTTTTGTGAAAGCCTTGTTATTGTATTTTGTATTTGCCCCTTTTGCATGGGCCAGCATATTGGCCTGCAGTATCGATAAATAAATAAATAAATAAATAAATAAACACTCTGCTTTGCTCGCGTTACAACATTAAAGATTGATTTCATAGACGCGAACCTGCTTTACGAGGTTTGTACCCCTGATAGATGCTCACTCCAACGAATTGATAAATTTTAGATATGAAAATGCTCTTTCATTGCTGGAAATGCTCTTTTTATAAAGTATTTACGGGATAAATTTGTATTGCTGTAAACTACTAGCTTGTGTTTATTGTTTTTTTTCACATTAGTCAGAAACGACGGAGCTCTTGCTATAGCACTATGTTCACATAGAGCACATTTCTTGAAGAGTGGCCTATGCCATGATTATTCGTGAAGCGAGTGGCGACACCACCAAAACTTCATGTACGACGTCGCGAACGAGTGATCAAATATTCCAATATCGAAAATAGCAGGCGCACCAAAGAGTAGAGATGCTGGGATGAAGAAGTCTTGGCTGCATGAAAAATGCATTACCGAAGCATTTCCTGAGGCCAGCGGTGAGGATACAGCGTTGACCCCGAAGAGAGGCGCCACTCCAACCTTACACTGCATGAGATTTTATCTGTCCGAAAATATATATACATTAAACGAGTCTCCAGCCCGAATACAAACAAGCAATCGTGCTTCGTCGCTTGAAAAAGTATGGAGTACGGAGCGTCAACACCGTTCGCAGAATAACAACACGACGTTACAGTGACGAAAGACCCCAACATTTCGAAATACATTGGCTGACTGCAGTTGACATTTGCCACTTTGAGTAGAGACAACATATTTAAAGAAATACACATCGAACGCAGAGGTCGTGGTTTGTATATCCTGATTCTCATGCCTTGCCACAGTTTTCTAGTACCAAAAGCAAAGCAAGTTGTTCCGAAGTCGCATTTTTTAAAGGACCAGAAACGTGAAACAAGGTGTAGCAAAGTTTTCGCTAAGTTTATGTATATATTCGCAACGGCTACTGCTTTAAACGTTCACTCCATGTAAAGTATAAAATAACAAGCGCACCTTTAAAACGCACTCATCTGAAAAAACAGCTGGGCACGACACCCTTAAGTCTGCGAAAAAATGAAAATGTCTGCCGCCATATCTAGTGCGTGTAGCATTTTAAAAAGCCACGGGGCGATTAACCTAAACAGGCGTGTTCATTCGGAAAGAAAACAAAACTGTTCAGTTGGCAAGGAGAAAAAGAAAAGCAAGCAAAAAAAAAGAAATGCAGGCGTTCATTTCCACATATACTTGATCCTAAAATACCACTTCTAACTCTAATATACGAGGGGTGCATCTCGCTGTTGTGCTTCAACACAATTTCGGTAAGTGTACGGTTTCGTCTACTACATTTTCTTCTCTAACTTTGCTTCATAGAGATCGCGCAAAAAATTTCCATGCTCAGCAGTCGAGCTGCAAAGGCCGTCTACCATTTCCGAGGTACAATATGTAGGAATAAAAAAGTAGTTTTGATAAATGATTTTTTTTCACCAAACCAGAAAAAATTGAATAGACAAACTTCCTTTTACCCTCTTTCAGGGTCAATATGGAAGAACACAATTTTTGAGAAATGTGCAATACAGCATGTGGTTGGAATTTATTTCAACAGGTGCAACTGCCACGGTCATAGCTCCTGCGCTTATTTTGCAGGCACTGTAGGTTGTTAAAATATTATGACGTAAATCATTCCATTAAGCATTTTTAACGTTCCATTGGCGCCATCTTACCGCGGAGATATAGCTCTCAATTTTCGTTTGCTGTATTGCTGATATACATTAACAACGACATGAGTTGTCCCTGCGTGACTAGGAATGATGGCGTGTGGAGGCTAAAATGGCTTCCAAACACCTGTTTGGGATCCAAGAAAAAGTCACAGCTTTACTGCAAAAGCGAAGCGATGAATGCGATATCAACACATAGGAAC